CTGACCTGGCTCGGCCCCCGCCCATGGGCCGCGGGTCCCCGCCGCAGCCCGCCGGCCCGGAGGACAGCGCCCAGCCGGCAGCCGCCTGAGGGACCGGACGGATGCGTCTCAGGTGAGGCGTGTCCCGAGCGCGCGAGTCCAGCCCCACACACCTGCCGGCCGGGCCGGACGGGCTTGCGTAGCTGTTTGCGAATGAGCCCTGCGCGCTGGAGTGAGGGTCCCGGCTAGGTGTACGGGCCCGGGGAAAGCCAGCGATCGCCCCCTAAAACCGCCAGGGACGATGGAGGGAGGGGCGCCTGGCCGGGGCGCGACGCTGGGGGAGGCGAGGCCGCGGGCGGGACGCCGGTGGGGGAGGGGGGAGCCGCATTGCAGGTGCGGGAGTCGGGCCTGGCCGCCGGGCCCTGGCGCTGCAGGAGGCGGCGTCCGGGCGCGCCGCGCTCGCCACCTGCAGCCTGCAGCCTGCCGCCCTGCAGTCGAGGGACCGCCCCAAGAGCCGCACAGCCTTGCGACCCCGTAACCCTTGGCGTAAGTCCGCTGTCTACCTATTGCCTCTTTCCGAATCTTGGCTGTGGGCTCTAGTTTTATCCTCTAACAATTCGCTGGTGATTCCTGAAACGGAGAGTAATCCACAGATGCGCAGAGCTCCGGGCTTGGCCGCGGAACCGCGGTACTCCGCGGTGAGTTACTCTAGTTTTCCTAACTTGCGTTTTCATGCCGATCTGGTTTGTTGAGTCCACTAATGAAAGTTGAGGGGACCTAAGAGAAAATACAGCCGCGTTTTTGGAATTTAGGTGGCACTTGTCTGCTTTATAACAAAAGCAATTCCGAGGCTGTAATACTAGATTGCGCACTTAAGAAACCTGTAAGAGTGTTAAAGCTGGAATCGCCGTTCGGAAACTGTTACGTTTGAAATTGAAAGAGCAAGCGCAAGGACCTGAGTTCAATCCCTGGCTCCGCATTAAAAAAAAAAAAAAAAAGAGCATTGTCACTTTATTAAATGTTGCTTCTTTTTGGCACAGTCTGGGGTTTCCCTGCGTTTTCTCGCCATTAAATTGTGAGGGAAAAGACGTTCTTCAAGTGACTTTTATCTCCGAAATGTTCTGAAAATTATGCATTTTTCTTGACTAACTGTTCACCCAAATGGCTGAATATCCAATATGTTTGGAGAAGGCTTCAAGTGTTGTGATTCTTTATATACGTCTGTACACCTGTACATACACACTATCGAAGCTCCTTAAAATAGTTTTTTGTTGCTTCTTGTAGCATATTATAGTTAATAAGTGTAGTTTAGGTGGATGTGCTTTTTAAAGTAGAAGATAATTGTGTGTACAGACTTTTACTGTGACACATTTAAATGTATCAGTGTAACAGATAGGTTTTTCAAGCATTAGATTATTTTATTCTGGCATCTTTTAAAGAAATAAGTGAATCCTATCCTTTTAGTCGCAAAGATTGTTGATTTGGGGTTCTTAACTCCTTCCTCTGTCATAAATCGGAAAATTGATTTCAGCATCAGTACCTCGCTGAGATATATTTGCAGCAGTCTCAGTGTTACAGTGTGGATCTTGATGCTTTTAAGAAACCCTCATGAAGCGTTTTTTCCTCTTTGCGGCAAAACACATGGGTTTTTCCTTCTATCTAGAACCAGATCAGCAATGACAGATCCCGATGCATAGTGGGCCTGTGTTTATTAATGAAGATTGTTGACTATTGATTTATATCCCTTCGAGGGTGTGGCAGGCGCCTGCATGTGCTTCAGCCACTGGAGCTGCATGCGGTAAATGTTTGAGGCAGAGGCGGGGGAGGTCAGGGCCAGCTTGGTGAAACCAGTTTTCCTATGTCCGGCTTTCACATTGCGTCCTGCAGCAAGCTTTGGGCAGGGAAGTGAGTATATCCTAATGGTCTTCAAATATTCAAAGGCATTATGCAGCAAAGCAATTTTATCAGAGAGGTTCCCGAGTATAGAAAAAGAGACATCCTTAGAGAAACACAGATTTTCCAGTGATGTAAATGCAGGAGTCATCAGGATTAAAACTTAGGCATTGGAAAGAAGGGACTGCTCCTTCCTGGGAGGATAGGGTCCCAAGGGGCTGGTTCCTCGCGTAGCATGACCAGGAGGTAGCACAGGGGTGCTGCAGGGCAGCTTGTAGGTGTGCCAGCGGGGTGCGCCTGGGTGGCAACAGCATTCAAGGTCTCCTGCATTTCCCTTCCTGTTCTGCGCTTCTTTTTCATTTCTTGTGCTGAGTTCTACAGTTGTGGGCAGCGTGACATCCCTAGACACTTGGTGAAGCCTCAGAACATTTGTACCAGGTCATCTACCTGCTGTAGGAGGTGACCTAAACCTACCTTGCATTGGTGTGGGGCCTTCTGCGTAGCTCTTACATTCAGTGTGTTGTCTTAAGGCCTCCTTTTAAAAATATGTGTTCTTGTGTTTCTTCCTTTGGTTTTTAGTTCCTATAGTAAACATTTAATCAATAGAAAAATCTTTTTTTTTTCTAGTGAAACAAGCAGAGGGGTAGGTTGTGTTTTGGGGGTTTTTTTTGGTTTTTTTTAAAAAGTAGGTATTTTTCAAAATGAAATGGTGTTGGTCTCTTAAGTCAGAAAGTTATGCGCGTGCATAATTTTCTCTTAGCTGAGAATAATTTTTAAAAGATACAGATTAAAGGATAGTTCTTGTGCTTGCTCTGCATTTCAGTTTGTTTATTTCATTACTCAGGCATGACTCAAGTGTTGTAGCAAGAGAGCCCAGTCGTCTCTACCTACAGTAAATTGCTCTGAATTTTTTTTCATATGCCTGTATGGTATTTAAGTGCATGCTAACAGCCAAAAATAAAACAAAGCTGAGAAATAGGATCACAGGTAACTGAAAAGATGAGGCGAATGGGAGCTTTGTGTTTGAAGAAGAAAAAGATGCACAGTCTTCATGCTAGGCCAATCTTGGAAATGATGGATTTATCAACGAGGGGCGTAGCAAGGACTAGGCCGTTACGTGTCTGCCTCAGTGCGTGCACTAAGTGGGTCAGTGGGGTGAGGGCTGGCCGTGGCCAAGCTGCAGAGCAGCGGCCTGTGAGCGCCAGAGTCCCTGTGCACCAGGACTAAAGTAGAGCGCGATGGTAACAAGGCCAGCAGAGGCCGTTGCCTGGCCTCGCCGCCGCAGGAGGGAGTTAGGAAAAAAATCTCTATTATTGTATACATGTACTTAATTATTTTGGGGTTTGTTTTGTTTTGAGATAGGATCTTGCTATGCAGTTCAGGCTGACCTTGAACTCACCATGTAACCCAAGTTAATCTTGACCTCACAGTGGTCCTCCTGCCTCAGCCTCCCAAGAGCTGGGATCTCAGGCATCTGTCACCACATTGACTTAAAACACTTTTTAAAATAGTTCCTCTCTTTTGCCTTTTAGCAGATTTCCCCCCATGCTTTTGTGCTTCCCACCCATCAACTTAAGTTAGGTGTAATAAATTAAGTGACCCCAAAGTTTGTTTGAATGTGTATATATAATTTATAAAGCATGCATGAAGGGAAAAAGAAATTCAGGCTGTTCTGGCCAAACAAAAACTAAAACAAAAAAATGTTAGGAAGTATGTATTCCTAACACAGGGAAAAAAACACAGATACTAATGGGCCTGGGCGATAGCTCAGTAAAATAAGTGCTTACCTTGCAAGCACAGGGTCCTGAGTTCAATCCCCGGTACCATAAAAACAAACAAACAAACAAAAAAAAACGCACACACAGATACTATTTTATGTAGTACTACCAGTACAGTAAATGATCAAGTAAGGCAGCCTACATCTCAAAGCTTCTAGCCAGTCTGTAAAGGCAGCACATGGTTACTGTAGATTTCTTTGTTCATAGAGAGCCAGGTATATCTCTATGCATATCTCTACCCTCGGGAGTGATCTTTTGTGATATTCCTCACTTGCCACTCTATCAGAAATAGCTTTAGAAAGCTGAGCGGGGGCCTGGGGAGATGGCTCAGTGGAATAAGCGCTTCCCTGGCAAGCGTAAGGGCCTGAGTTCAATCCCTGGTTCCGCAAAAAAAAAAAAAAAATGAAAGCTGAGCGGGCTACTCCCTGGCAGCTGTATGGAAAGCGGGAACAAGCTTTCTCCTTGACACTGAAATGCCTCATTCTGACTGAGTTCTCGAGGCTGAGTAGCAAAATGTCCTTGGTCAGCACCAAAGAAAAGAAGCAGCCTGCACACGCGTGCTGGGGCCGGGGTGGGGCCTGGCTGTGGGGCACACAGCACTTGGAAGTTTCCTGGGCAGTAGCTAGAATATTAAATTTAGATCTGCGTGAGATCCTTATCCTTCACTCTTCAGATCCCTTCCTGATCTAAGTGCATCCTCTGCCCTTCTTGTGTGCCACATGGGTAGGCCAGTGTGCCAGGCACCCTTGTAGGCTTGTTTTTCTTCGGTACCTGGCTCAGGCATGACTGCCACCTATAAATTATAATTGCTCACATTATTGCAGTACTATCTGTTCTAAAGTCATACATTCCCTAGAAATGGGTGGCCTTACACTCTAAAAAGAGTGGAGGGGCCGGGGAGATGGCTCAATGGAATAAGCGCTTCCCTGGCAAGCGCAAGGGCCTGAGTTCAATCCCCGGTTCCGCAAAAGAAATAATAATAATAATAAATAATAAATAAAAAGAGTGGAGAATCTGCATGGAAACCTTGGTTTCCCAAGAGCAAGTTTTTTCTGTCATACAGAGTATCCTGGGACTCTATCTTACTAACACCTCCTAGCCTGGTTTCTCAAATGATGAAAAAACATAGAAGGTGCGGCTCATGCCATGCCCTGATTATTGGTGGAGGCTTTTCCTGAAGTTGTACCTCTCCAGCCATCATGTGTACAAGGCACCGGTGTACTTCTTTCTCTGTGACTCGTGACGTGTGAGGGCAGATCCACTTTTTACAGATATTAAGTCTTGCACCGTGAGAACAAACGTGCTTTAGTTTTATGTGTCCGAAGATGGAAATGTAGCAGAGGTTATGAGGTGTCTCCAGTCCTCAGAAAGGGTCAGTCCCTGGTAGCAAGTTATCTTTCTGTTTGCCCAAGTCCCTGTGAGCAGACCAGGAGTCCGGCCACTGTGCTCCGGCCTGTCCTGT